GTGCTGTCGTCTGGGGGCTTTAGACGACCTTGAGCTCATGGAACTGTTTTGGAGCGGGTTGGACGAGGACATTGCCGAGTTGATGCCGGATGACTGTACCAGCTGGACCCTAGAGGGGTATGTCAACCTGTCTCTTCTTTTGGAGCGGTTCGTCATTTACTGTGGGCGTGGAGGAGAAGAAGCGGCGAGAGCCCGCGCTCCGCGAGACCGCGCTTCACTTCGGCTCAGCCGAACCCGCGCTCCGCAAGCCCGCGCTTCACGTCTGCTCAGCCAAACCCACTCTTCGCGTCGGACCCCTCGAGCCCGTATTCCGCACTGGTTCTGTTGAATTTGCTAATCCCGAGACCGCGGCGGAGGTTTCGCCGGCCGAACCGGAGTTTGAACGCGTGCCAGCCGGCGCGAACGAGTCAAGTGAGTCAAGTGCCGCCGAGTCAAGTCCCGAGTCAAGTGAGTCAAGTCCCGAGTCAAGTGAGTCAAGTCCCGAGTCAAGTGAGTCAAGTGCCGAGTCAAGTGAGTCAAGTGCCGTGTCAAGTGAGTCAAGTGCCGTGTCAAGTGAATCGAGTGAGTCAAGTGAGTCAAGAGCTGAGTCAAGTGAGTCAAGTGCCGAATCTAACCAAGTGAGTGAATCCAGCCAAGTGAAAGATTCAAGCCCAGTGAAGCGCCGTCGCAGAAGGAAGAGGAGGACTCGTTTGGCTCGCCAGGCTCCGGAGGGCGTTCCCAGATGCCTCGCCCTGCCGGCCCCGCCTCTGCGCCTCGCCCTGCCGGCCCCGCCTCTGCGCCTCGCCCTGCCGGCTCCGCCTCTGCGCCTCGCCCTGCCTGCGCCCTTCAAGCTCCGGGAGGGCTTTCCTGAACCCGTGGATTTCCCCAAGTATTTTTTTGGGGGGGGCAAAGGGTCCGGTGAGGAGACCATGAAGGCTGCGCCGCCATGGTCGTCTGCAGGGGCTTCACCTCCATGGCCGCCATCACGTCCTGCTCCGCCCTGGCCTTCGCCTCGTCCTGCTCCGCCCTGGTCACCGGCCCAGTCTGGTCCGCCCACGCTCTGCGGCCCAGGCCCGCCTTGCCTAGGTCCAGGTCCCGTTCTCCTGCATGGGCCTGGCCCCCCATCCCTCCCCCAAGACCGCCCTCCTGGACTTTTGTTTGTTTTATTGGGCTTCAGGAGCCGCCCTTAAGGGGGGGGGGGGGGGGGTTATGTCACGATGTGGGTTTGTGTCCTGTCATGTTCTTTGGTTCACTGTCTTGTTCATTAGTTTTCCCAGGTGTTTCTGATTTTCCCACGCCCCCTTGTTATCCTGTTAGCTCGTTTGTACTTGATTATTTAAGCCCTGTGTTTCTGCCCTGTCTTTGTGAGTTGTTATATGTTTCAGGATTAACGTGAGTGTTGGTTTCCCAGTGTTAAGATTCTTGTTCCGCGTTCTGAGTTTCTGTTTGAGTTTATTTAAATAAAGCGTGTAAACTGCGTTTGGATCCAGCCTCCTATCTGCCTTCACCGCACCACGTTACACATGGCCTCAGAGAAAATATAAAGTTAATCTAAAGGCAAAGACTTTCATTTCTGTGAGTATTTCGGAAAGTCTGTCCTGGAATGCTTTAAATTAGGGCCGGGACTCGATTAAAAAAATTAATCTAATTAATTAGAGGCTTTGTAATTAATTAATCGAAATTAATCGCATTTTAATTGCATAAATATTTGACCTGAGAACAGGGAGAAGTAATTTTTTTCACATGGATTTTTAGCATACCATTGAATAATGACTGAATACATAAGCTTAAGCAACAAAATATTGTTTATTTTTGTTCAACCAAGTCCAGCAGACCAGTGCAATTTTTACCATTAAGTGTAGCAATAGCATATTGCTACACTAAGTTACACTAATAGCAATAGCGAGTTATTCCTTGTTGCATAGCTTGCACACAGCATGCTCTTATCAGACTGATCTCATGAAATGGCGTATGTATTTCCATTTTTGGCGTGCTATCAACACGCATAATCGCTTTTCAGCGTGTTTATCAACGCCGTTGACTTAACGTACATTACTGTATATATAAAAAATGTATGACCTACCCCAACCCCGTCCCTAAACCTATCCGTCACTGGGGTTAATACCATTTATGAATCTTCCCCTACCATCCTAGGGAAAAAATATCGCTCCCCAGATGTAGATCTACATTTTGCTTCGTTTCGCTCGGACATTTAACGGCGTAGACATACACGCAAAAGATGACGGTTCGTTTCGGCGTGGACATACACGCGGATAGCTCAAAATGCGTATAGATAACACGCCACTTGACTTGAAAGTGTCAAGTGGCGCTTTTGTTATAAATGAAGTCTGCTTCAGTGCTTCAGAAGCTGCGGTTTCGTCAGCTTCTTCGTTCATGTTCACTGTGGTTTGTTGGATAGACTGTAAAAGGTTTGTTGTTGTCTGAAGTCATCATGAACGCTAGTTGGTGCTCCAGTATAATCGGTCCGCCGAAACTCATCCAGTGAGAAACGTTCCGCGGTGCAAAAATAAGTGTTTAACGTGTTATTTTTTGTGTAATTAATTAACGCGTTAAAGTCTGTAATTAATTAATCTTAATTAACGCGTTAAAGTCCCGGCCCTACTTTAAATATATTGCAATGAAAAAAAAAAATATTTTGGCTGCTTGTTCAAATTGCTTCAAATGAGCTCAAGCAACACAATTGCTACATTTTGTCCAAACTTAATTTGATTGTGTTCAATCTGCTTAAATATGTAAAATTAAAGTTTACTTAATCCGTTTGTGTTGGATTACATGAATGATTTGTGTTGCGTTAACTTAAACTGGGCGGTGCTTGTTAGTTCCCAGCATGCTTTGCATATAGCTGAATTAAGAGAGAATAAATGTTGAAATTAAGTTTTATTTTGTGTTTTTGAGAAAATGACGAAAGAGGAAGACTTTATAGTGTGTAATTGTGTTTAATGTTCAATTACATTGCAATTATTAGAACCATTTAAATTACAGTGGGTTACCATTGTGGAAAAGAGTGGAGCATTTGGTTAGGTTGTGGACTGATTAATAAAATATAACTCTTGTTGCTGAAAGAGCATATACATCTTAGCATTTAATATGTTAATAAGTGCTATTATAGGCTAATAGTAAGCTATAGTATAGAATTTCAATTGAGAAATTATGTAAATCCTACATACTTTTATTTGTCAGTGAAGATTTAAATAAACTAAAGCATGTGCACCAAACTTAACCGGTTTAAGTTACAGGGAAGCAATTCCATTGATTTGTTTGGACTCATTCAGTTGTGTTGTCACAACACAAGGAGCTTACATAGATTCAAAAAATCCCATTAATGTTAATTAGGCATGTGCCGGTATAAAATTTTCATGCTGCGGTTAATTGATTGAGCTTTTATCACGGTATACGGTATTATCATGATATTTTAATTGCTCAAGAGAAACAGATGGATTGTGGGTATCTAAACAACTTGCATCATAATGTGTAATTGTGATTTTCAAAACATATGGTAACTAAACAATTTTATTAAGTTTAGCGACAACATGTTACAATGTTTACATGGTACAATGACTGGTAGGCTACTGTTTGTATTATTCAATTAAATTCTTGGATTTTATTTCAATCTTAATTCAATATTGACTCATTTGGATAAATATTAGGTAGGCTACAGTCTGCATGTAAATTTTTCTCAAGAAAAAAATATATCTCACAATGCTGTAAACATACAGAGAGAAATGAAATACAATGCGGTTTTCATTATAATAACAATTATGTAATGACAAGTAAACATATAATAAATATGTAATATGCACATATTTAGCCAAATACTCCTCGCTGTACTGTATCTTTAAATAAAAAGTAACAGATGATCGGTTTACTTGAACTGAGGCGCAGCGATCTGTCACAATGGACAGAACCTAAGAGCTGAATGTTTTTTTATATATATATATCAAATGTAACCTGCTCTGTCTAGTCTGTCGGTGTCAGTGTCCTCTTTGCTCCGCGATTTTTCTCTGCGTGAGAGCGTGTGAAAAGTGTCAATTGAGTAAAGCGCCTTTCAGACAGGACGCGGAATGCGCGGCGCTGGCCGCTGGGTTCAACGTTGCCCTTCAGATACAACGCGATTTGCTATTTTGCAAATAAAAAGTTGAACTATTTTGAACTTTGACCCAGGCGTGCTTTGGTCGACGCAGCAACAAAACGTCCCCGCGCGTGTTCCGCGTCCTGTCTGAAAGGCGCTTATTAAGTCTCAAGCACTGATCTATATAATGACTTCATTCTATATAGATCAGTGGTCTCAAGCTGAATGCGTGAGAGTTGGCAGCCCTGCAATCGTCGGCAGCGTTCCTCCTCCCGCCATGCTTCTACTCCATGTGAGGATTGTTTAGACTAGAGTGCGCACTGCCGCATGCACACAGTGCTTATACATGTGGGGATTGTTTACATCGGAGTGCGCACGTGTTTTGCGCAGCATATACGCAGTTTAAGCGGTTGATGGAAAATAAGCTAATGCGCGTTCTAAAAGTCTAAATTCGAATCTATTATTTTTCACGGTATTTTGAATTGCCCGCGATAACAATATCGTGCATATTCATTACCGCGATTTATCGCATTACCGAATACCGGCACATGTCTAATGTTAATAAAACGCAATTTGCTTGTGTGGAACCACTGTCCATAATTAAATTAAGTAAGTTTAAAGAGTCATTTTTTTGAGTGAATGTTTGATGTGTAAATACATTATAAAAGTATTTTAATGCAGTTATTATGCCTTGTAATGCACCTTATAATGCATTGTATGATCTTATGAGTAAATGTAACAGTTATGATACATTATAATATACTTATATATTAATTGAACACACCACCTTTAGAAAGTATAATGCATTAAAAGACACAACAAACGACCAATTTAAGAATATGCAAATATTATACATAAAGGTTTTAAGTGTTGCGTTTAAAAAAAAATCAAATGTATATTGTGTAGATTTTAATGTATTATTTTATGAAAATTATATTTTTAAATTCTGCTCTTCTATTATCCTGACAGACGAACCTTTACCAGAATAAAATGCAGGGTATAAGGGTTCAGTGAAAGTGGTCTGGACTCTGTGAAGGAGAGTCATTGTGTCAGAGACGCTGTAGAAGGACAGAGTTCCTGCTCTGTGATCCAGATACACTCCTATTCTAGAGGAGCAGACACCGGGGATTGAGACTTGGGTTTTATCATGTATGAAATGGACATTCTGTAGCGAGCGGGACAATCTCCATGATATTTTGTTGGAGCCAAGTTTGCAGGAATCACTGTTTCCTTTACGTCCAATTCCTTTGTAACAAACTGCTACAGCCCAAATGTTCCCACTGCACTCGACCTCCCAGTAACAGCGACGGTACAAACCCTCTCTAGACAAGATATAAATATACCAATCAAATCGCTCTGGGTGATCAGGATATTGCTGGTCTTTATATGTATGTGATATTTCCCTGTTGTCCTCAGACAGTTTGAGGTTTTTGTGTGCAGTATTTAGATCCAAGTGAAGTTCACGGAAATCTGAGGAGGAGGAATGGACAAAATTTTTTATAAATTGAACAAAGTAAACTTTGGTTCCAAAATGGTCACATTGTAAGATATCATATCCACTGTTACTTATTAGTTAATAAGTGTGTGCCTTGAAGAAACCACAGTTAAACTTACACTGCAAAAAATCATTTTGGGTCTTGGCAACATGGACATTTGACACTGAAAATAAAATAAAAAACATAACTTGTGATTAATTTGTTGGTACCGAGTATGAATGGCAATTATATCAAAATATTCAGACCTTCTTGTGATATTTTGTCTGTCTGCTGTTGATAGACGTCCTCCAAAACCTCTCTGAATGCTGAGATTGAAATGTCTTTAAAAGACAGATGAGTGTGTTGAGTGATGGGAACGTCTTCAAATGAGGGTAAAACACACACAGACTGACAGCTCTGAAATGAGACAAATACAGCACTGCTTGTTATTGTCACTTTCTGAGTGGCTGCAATGAAGTGCATAACGATAGAGAAATACTAGAGAAATCTTTAATAGAGCATATGTAGGGGATAATCAGGAACTAAATAAGATAAAGCTGATGATAATCACAGAAACAGGGACATAATCAGAAAGCAAAGAAACTGAAACTAAGCAAAGAACAGGAAATTAAAAGAAAAAAACAGAACAGAATAACAAAATAAAAGTCCATTACTGTAACAGTTATGTAAAAGAGACCATTTAAAAATGTGAAACAGTGAGTAAGTATAGAAACATTGTGGTGTCAAGGACTTTCATTACCTTCAGACACTGGATCTGATCATCATTAATCAGAAGTTTGTCAATCTCTGCTTGTCTTTTTCTGAGTTCTGTCAGCTCTTGATCCAGATGTTTGTGAAGTTCCTCTGCTCGATCTATCTCAGTCTTCTCCTGAGCTCTGATCTGCTCTTTAATCTCAGAGCGTTTCTTCTCCAGAGAGCAGATGAGCTCAGTGAAGACCTTCTCAATGTCCTCCATGGTCTCTAGCGCTGAACTCTATTGGACAGGAACAACAGCCTAAATACTGCATTTATAAGACCAATTTTTCCATTATTTGCAAACACACACATATATATTTCTTTCTTTCTTTTTATTTATTTTCATCATATTAAATGATTTTACAAGCACTGTAAACATCACTGGCATCTTCTGATACTCACTTTAAGAAGCTTCACAGCTTCACTGAGTTCCCGCTGACCTCTCTCTCGCTCCTGGATCAGCTTCTGACACGACACCTTTATCTCCTTTAACTCTTTCTGAGGATGATCACATACAAAAATCAATATTAAAAAATAAAACTATAAATATATACCTTAACAATCTCATCTTGTCATTATTAAATATCAAATTAAAACATTCAGTTATAGTGAGATAATGAGGAGGTAAGAAAGGTACTATTATCCCCAGTAATTTAAGTTAGTATTTAAAGACAAATAAATAAATAATTTTGATTAATATTATAAATAAAAAAAAAATCTAATCTACCTAAAATTGTAAGGATTCATTACCTTTTTACTTGTCCATTCAGAATCCACAGACATCATGTTGTGGTTTTTATGATTGTCAGTAACACACAAGTAACAAATACACTGATGATCCGCTGAATACACTTCCGCAGGTCCCCCAAGGTCTGGAATCGGTCCTTCTCCACAATCTTCCTCAGGGTCCGGTCACCTCTTCTCGTTGTGCAGCGTTTTTTGCCACACTTTTTCCTTCCCACAGACTTCCCACTGAGGTGCCTTGATACAGCACTCTGGGAACAGCCTATTTGTTCAGAAATTTCTTTCTGTCTTACCCTCTTGCTTGAGGGTGTCAATGATGGCCTTCTGGACAGCAGTCAGGTCGGCAGTCTTACCCATGATTGCGGTTTTGAGTAATGAAACAGGCTGGGAGTTTTTAAAAGCCTCAGGAATCTTTTGCAGGTGTTTAGAGTTAATTAGTTGATTCAGATGATTAGGTTAATAGCTTGTTTAGAGACCCTTTTCATGATATGCTAATTTTTTGAGATAGGAATTTTGGGTTTTCATGAGCTGTATGCCAAAATCATCAGTATTAAAACAATAAAAGACCTGAAATATTTCAGTTGGTGTGCAATGAATCTAAAATATATGAAAGTTTAATTTTTATCATTACATTATGGAAAATAATTAACTTTATCACAATATGCTAATTTTTTTAGAAGGACCTGTAAAGGTTTATCCAAACTGGCAGTCAAGGGGGTAATCCATCAGCCGGAAGTTGAAGCCTCGCGGAAGCCTGCTGTCAGCATTCCATTGACTCCTATTCATTTTGGCGTCACTTTGACAGCGAATAACTTTTCATCTGAGGCGTCCAAAGACTCCATTTGTCCATTATTTATTTCTAAAGAAACACGACAATGTATAAAAGGCTCCATTACCTTGTATCTTACGTTATGGCCCCGTAGAAGCAGTTTTTGTAAAAATAGGCTAACGATTGCGTCATAACGAATCGACTCTCCGTCGCACAGTAGAGAAATCACCGTATAGACAGAAGTAAAAGCTCGCAGGCAATCCGGGGGACGTGGATGCATAAAGTTAAGGGAGAAGCCCATAGAGAGTCATAAAGTTGATCCTGCTGCTAGCTCATGGACAGCTAATACTCACTCTCTCCGTCTCTGTGAGATTCGGAAGGGAATTATTCAGATTTCACTCGGCCCAGCTACTAGAAGACATACAGGTTGCTCACGTGACAGGCTCAGTTTGAGCCTGCGCAGTACGCCTGGCTATCAGCTTTTAACAGGCTTCAATTTTCTCCGTGGAAATCAATGGGGTCGCTGTGTCCATATGACTGGCAACAGGCAGGAGTTTTGACCCGGAAGGGCAAAGGGTTTTTGACCGCTGCGGCGCATTGGCGCTGGAAACCTATTGTTGACAGTCTATTATATGTATATGTATATGGTTTGCCATTGAAACTGGATAAATGGACATTTACCTCTGCACGGTCAAACAAATAAACTGAATAATCAACAAAACATGGTGAATGATAGAGTATGGTAATAGAATAACAAAGGTCCAGCACGTCAGCCAGGGCACTGCTGGGCTAAACCACCTCAGTAGCCGTCAGACTGAGCGATTACAGGACAATACAGTCACCTCTTGCTGCAATCCTTGTCAATCTGTAAGCATTTGGTGCGGTGTTTACAAACTGTACAAATTAGTAGGAAGCAACATAGAACAAAATAGCCGCTGGATTTAAAACATTTAATATAACGTTACACTTGACACGTAAAACATTTGTTCAACATCGATTGTAAACTGTTTGTTCAGCCGACTGCATCATGGATTCAGACATGGATTATTATGAGCTGCAGTAAAGAAACCTTGCTGAAGATGAACACTTTCAGATGCCAAAATTACAGAATAAACAAAATCAAAATCAATGTAATCTGATTTTGTAACATCTGATAATGAACTGTATATTTATTTACTAAATTCAAATTACGAGTGTCTTAAATGGGTGTTGAATATTCATTGATGGTGTTTAAGTTTGTTCATCCAAACTTCAAATTAAATTTAAATTAAAATACCGGCCTACGTGTTTCAGAAGTTTAGCAATTGAATCTGAAACTCAATCAATTAAAAATTAGTATGGTCTGTCTGAACTCTCTTCTGCTCTATCCTGACAGAAGAACCTGTACCAACCCCAAACGCAGGGTATAAGGGTTCAGTGAAAGTGGTCTGGAGTCATTGTGTCAGAGACGCTGTAGAAGGACAGAGTTCCTGCTCTGTGATCCAGATACACTCCTATTCTAGAGGAGCAGACACCGGGGATTGAGACTAGCGTATTATTATGTATGAAATAGACATTCTTTTGAGAGCGGGACAATCTCCAGGATTTTGTGTTGAAGCCAAGCCTACAGTCATCACTTTTTCCTTTACGTCCAATTCCTTTGTAACAAACTGATACAATCCAAATGTCCCCACTGCACTCGACCTCCCAGTAACAGCGACTGCACAAACCCTCTCGACACAAGATGTAGAGAAACGTATCAAATCGCTCTGGGTGATCAGGATATTGCTGGTCTTCAACTGAATGTGATGCTTTTCTGTTCTCTTCTGACAAGATGAGGTTTTTGTGTGCTGTGTTTGGATCCAGGTTAAGTTCATATAAATCTAAGGAGAATGGATGCACACAAAGAGAATTATAAACTTTATTATTCTTATTATTTTCTTTATATTTCACTTTACTGATATTTATCAAATAACATGTGTTTGTGAGCAATAGCTCCACTTACATTGCCAAAATGTTTTTGGAGTCTTTGGTTCTGGAGTCTGTGTAACATGAATATTTGACACTGAAAACATTAGAAGAAAATCAACAATAAAGTACATTTTTAGGTGTAGTCATGTATAGTATAAATTACACATTTTATATTCCAAGGAAAATCACCCAGACCTTCTCTGGATATTCTGGCTGATTGCTGTTGACAGGCGACCACCAAAACCTCCTTAAACGCTGAGATTGAAATGTCTTTAAAAGACAGATGAGTGTGTTGAGTGAAGCTGGGAACGTCTTCAAATGAAGGTAAAACGCACACAGACTGACAGCTCTGAAATGAGAATAATAATTCAAAATTTGTGAACGCATGACACTTTTTCCATTCATTAAGAGAAACTATTTATGGTGATATGTTGTGAAAGGTTCACACACAGATATGATAAATATAAAAAATACTTTCATTACCTTCAGACACTGGATCTGATCATCAGTAATCAGAAGTTTGTCAATCTCTGCTTGTCTTTTTCTGAGTTCTGTCAGCTCTTGATCCAGATGTTTGTGAAGTTCCTCTGCTCGATCTATCTCAGTCTTCTCCTGAGCTCTGATCTGCTCTTTAATCTCAGAGCGTTTCTTCTCCAGAGAGCAGATGAGCTCAGTGAAGACCTTCTCAATGTCCTCCATGCTCTCTAGCGCTGAACTCTAATCAGAGACACAAAGATCTGATCATGCAGATTGTTCTGACTCAAAACAATACAGGTAGAAAGAAATTTAGTGGCAGCTCCAAAAGTGACAGAAGTTTCAATAAGAAAACTGTGAATATGTCACGATTCTTATAGCAGTTTTTTAACCATTTTTTGGAACTCAAAATCCATCGGTTATCATGTACTTTCGTAGAATTTTATAAAAGTTTAAACCTAAACAACACATATAGAAACATACTTTAAAACCCTTAGGTGCTTTTCTGACCGTATTGAATTTGAAAAAATCACAGCTTCATCGGAATGTTACGAAACTTGGTGACTTTTATGGCATTAGGTATGTGAACAAAAAAAATTTTGAGGTCATGATTCGAGCTGGCTAAATGGTCGTAAAAAAAAAAAGGTGCCTTTTGTGCTCTTCGGTCAAAAATGACCGACCATAGGAAATTAATGGGAAATTGACAAAAACACAAAAATTCTCTATGATGCAGAACAATGCCACGATGCAGAAAAAAAAGTGCTCAGCAATAAAGGGGTGACACTCTAAAACATCAGTAGTGAAAAACATAACATAATTAAAAATTATAATTAATATATTTATATATATTAGGTCTCCAGTCACTTTTGACCGGGAAGATAACAAGTGTTGCCCCCAAATGAAGAGCACCTTAAGAAGCTTCACTGCTTCACTGAGTTCCCGCTGACCTCTCTCTCGCTCCTGGATCAGCTTCTGACACGACACCTTTATCTCCTTTAACTCTTTCTGAGGATGATCACATACAAAGGAGGAAGTAGGTTAGGTACTATGTCAGTCATTTAAATTAGTAATTTAAAATAAATAAATAAATTTTACTATTATCAACTCAAGAAAAAATTACAACTACCTAAACTGATAAGCGAAAAATAGTTTATGCATGTTTGTTTATTATTGTTGATATTACCTTTTTACTAGTCCATTCTGAATCCACAGACACCACACTGTGTCCTTTATGATTATCAGTACACAAACAACAAATACACTGACGATCATCCTGACAGTAAATCTCCAGTAGTTTCCCATGAATGAGACAGATGTTCTCCTGAATGTCTCTGGAAGCTTGGACTAGTTTGTGCTTCATAAACGCAGGAGATTGATAGTGAAGCTGCAGGTGAGTTTGACAGAAGGAGGCCAAGCACTGCAGACAGGACTTTACAGCTCTGTTCTTCTCTGTAGTGCAAACATCACACTCCACAGCAGCCGTTTGTAGAGACGTCTTCTGCAGCGTCTCCATCATCTCAGCTATCAGAGTGTTCTTCTTCAGTAGAGGTCTCTGACTGAAGCTCTCTCTGCATTGGGGACAGCGGTACGGCGGCCCCTGCTCCTTCTGGCCCCAGCAGTCAGTAATACAGCTCATACAGTAACTGTGTCCACAGGGAATCGTCACCGGCTCCTTCAGAGGATCCAAACAGACTGGACAGCTGAACTGATCCTCATACTGACTCGCTGCAGATTCAGACATTTCTCCGACAGCGTGTCCTCAAATAGAAACTGTTCTGCCAGAAGTAAATCATTAAAGAAAGTACATAAATCCACATCTCATTAATGTAAATCATTAATGAAAGACCATGTATAAAAATCTACAAAATGCTTACAGTTTTGTGAATTAATATAAAAGAATCCTAAACCCTTCATCCGTAACCAGAAGAATAAACATATGACATCCAGATTAACAATGAATTATATCAAACTCATACAGTAATAATTGAATGCTCTTTTTTCAATGCAAGAAGACATAAAGCAATTAGTTAAGGATTTGTTGACGTTCTTACCTGATTTGACAGAATAACAAGTCAAATATTCCTTCCTTTAGCTTTAAACAAACTAGAAGAGTGTGAATCCTTAAGCAGAGGCTCAGGTAACAGGGACATAGGTTTTGTTTCTCTCGAATCCACAAACTTCCTGGTTTTCAGTGACCAGAAAAGACTTTGACTTTTACAACTCTTTATTAAAACATGTACTAAAACACTAAAATACAATGTATTTCACCCCTGTAGACATACTGCTACAATCTACACATGCAAAGAAAAAAATTAAAAAAAATATAAATAAAAAAAATAAAATAAAAAATGACCATTAAACATCACCAATTAAACACTATGGTTTCATCTTCACATATTGACAATAAAGCACCATTCACACACCATTTAGACTCAAATTCAAATAAGTTTTTTGTGATTTCGTAGAATTTATGTTCCAGTCTGATTCTTGATTCAACCAAAGCAGTAAACATTTTCAGCGCGCTCATATTTCTCCCCTCAGCAGCCATTCTGCAAGTCTTCCAAATGGCTAGTTTAGCTTGCTTGTCCAACTG